GTCGGTAGCTGTATTGATTCTCGGGCAGGTCACGTTGGTGGGGGTGTTGTCGACAGTGGGGGTTAGCTGGTGGTTGGCGCGAAACACATCCCTGCCCGGCCAGAGCTAACGCAAAACATCAGCCTGTAAATTGGTTAATTTCGTTCCCGAACTATCCGAAATTCCGGCAAGTTTCGTTTCGCCTGTCTACGCCGAAGCCTGCATCCTTTGACGCTCGCGAGCGCGCTCCTACCCCTACGGACGCACGCTGCATGCTCGAATTGCCGGTCCACGGTACTTCCTCTGCAACGTTTTATTCCGTTTACAGCGAGACGATCGTGGTACGATTCTGGTTGAAAGGTACGCCTATATCCGCCAACTGGCGACCATGAATCATTGATTAGACCAGCCAGGAACCAGTAAGTTTATCATTTATTACGCATTCGTTCGCATTGGCGTTCGTTAGCGATCGTCTAAAATTAGACGTGATCGCTGCTAAACGGTAGAAATTTTTGAGAACCACATCGAAATCTGGCGATCGCGTGGCCGTTCGACATTTCTAAACATCGATTACCCCTTCTCGAACATTGAATCGAGCTGGAATTTGGCCTGGAATTCCTCGAATCCATCGAACTACCGACGATGCTTCCGTTCCTTTGTACGCGACTCAATTTCGCGGTAATTAAATTTGCATCGAAAGTTTCATGAAAGTTTAATCGCGACGACGGTCCCGGGAGCCGCCGGCCTTTACTAACGTCCGACTATTACGCTCGAGAAGAAGTAATTCGTTAAAATTCGTCGATACAAAGGGTGAAAAAAAGCGAGAGAAAAAGAAGAACAAACCAAAGAAGCATCCGGTGGAAAAGCTCGCTAGGAAATGGCATTAATCGCGATACTGCTCGAGCTTCCGCAACCTCGGCCCCGCACGCGTTCGCGAATAAATTATTCGAACCAAAATGCCCCGGAGAATTTCGTTTCCGTGCCCCGGCAACTTTCCACCGATTATATTTGCGTTTCGAAACGATCGTCGTTTTCCGAGCGGCCTTAATTAACGGCAGCCAACTCGCTGCAAAACTT